CAATATCATTGCAACTCCCAAAAATGTAGTTAAGTGTATAATAGGTCAAGAGGTTTATGTCGGAGTAACGGATAATGTATGAACGTATACAAGCACCATGTACGTAACTCTACCAATAACCCACTAGAAGTAAGTAAACATTTTAATGATTGTCCTGAAACAATAACTTTCAACACTTTTTCTTTTGTGGAAGTGCAAAGAAAAACAGAAAGTACATACTATGAAAAATATTTGAACCAACGTTTCAAAGCTACTTTGAATATATTCACTAAATAATTTCAAATTGCAGAAGACGCAGATAAATGACTTTCTACTGATTTAAAATAGAACAACAGACTAAGGTGAGTGTACATATGTATATTTAGTACAGTTTTTTTGTTTGTAGTTAAGCACAAAGCTACACAATGGGCCATCTGTGCTCTGCCCACCACAGGTATCAAAACCCTGTTTCTATCCCCCTGCCAGTGGGGGACACTTTTTTGGAATTGAATGCAAAAACAAAACAGTGCGTGTTGTTTTGGATATATTTTACGGGATTATAACTGTTGTTACTATGTGCTCTCTTGACATAGTAGTATTTATCTATAGATCGTATTGTATTTGACGACAACTTTATAACTGAAATCTAAGTTTATTCCCTTCTTATACAACCTGAAGAATGACATAAATATCTGGAAGTTGGTTTTACTCGAAGCAAAGATTAAAATAACTCAAATCTTGTTCTGTTTCTCTTATATTTCTCATTATGTTCGAGTAACATCACATCATCTGCTTCTCACGTATAACGTTTAAAACTTTTGAGAAACAGTACAGTTGAAACGAGTTCGGTAAAGGAAGACATGTTAATATATACCCTAAATACTGCCCAAAGTGTTCTTAACACTGAACTAATGCACTTCGCACATGTGGGTTGACTAAACCCGCTGTTTTCCCATTGAAACCCAGAATTAAATAAGCTAGCAGTGTTTGCTTCTGTAAAATAAACAAGTGAGAAGTTAATTCCAAGCAGAACTACGGTTGTTGACTATGTTGGGTAATTAAACTAATTTCAGAAAGAAATGCTAATAACATTGCACGCAAACATCGCTTCACAATAGTTTACGAACTATACATCCCAAAGGATTCTTTCACAGCTTCAAGACAAATCATCATCTAATCAAAGTGTTTTCATTAAAATGTTGTTACAGATGAAAGATGGAATTAGACTTATTGCAAATGGGGGTTGTATTCCATTATTTACAACACAAAATCTGTTGACAAAGTCTATGAATAAAATTTACACCTTTGCTCAACCTTATGGGAGTTAGGAGTAAATTTATACAGATCAAATGTGAACTATGGGATGGGTTTTACCTATCACTCCTTGTAGCTTGATTTTCTATCAGTTGTCTGATAGGTGAATTAAATGTAAGAAATTATTAATTAATGATGTTAGAATTGAAACGTTGACCTTTTGTCCAATAACGTTTCATCCGGTTAATCTTGGATCCTCGATGCCATACCTGGTGGATCTCTGGCGGCAAAGCCGGTTGACATCTGACCTTTTACTCCTAAAAGACACATTTAGTTGAACCCTAATGCCACATCCACTTAACCTCAGTGAATAGTAAGTATAAAACGAAAACAACATACATATAAACTGTTAATAACAATTATAACTGTCCTTTAAAACACCATCGTTGTGCATAAGAACACTACAAGACTTGTAAAATCTATGTTGTAGACACCTGCCATACGTATTATATGCAGATAATTAAATACACTTAACCCGATCAAAAAAAAATCTTAAATATGTTTGTATTCTATGACTTCGATTGTATGTAACTTCTGAGAGTGCAGTATAATGGTCGACACATTCTCGAGCATGTATCCAATTTATATATGATTTACAGAGTATGTGGGCTCAGCAAAATGTGTGAAGATTTATAACGCAAAAAACAGGGTTTCGATACCTGTGGTGGGCACAGCACAGATAGTCCATTGTGTAGCTTTGTGCTTAACAACAAACGAAACAAACAAAACACAAAGTATGTTAGGTGTGTTGAAATAACACTGGTCAAATTTGACGTTATTGTGGCTTATGTTACCATACGTTTCATAACAATAACAGGTATTTTATTGGATGTTTGAAAGATTTGGCCATCAGTTTTACACATTGAAACAAAACCATAAACTCAATGTTACTTTCATGGCCCAGAATGTGCATGCTTGCCATATACAATATATTATTAGGTACTGGCTAAATAAAAGTTTGGGTTCTTCAGCTGGGATTCTATGCGTGAATGTAAGCGTCAAGGCAGTTTCTATAAAACATCAGAAAAAATGTAAACAATTTAATAGCTTTTTTTAATACGCTTACCCAGGCAGGGATATCATTGTTGATTCTTATCGTATACAACCTGAAGATATGTCTTAGGATGCATACCAAAGACAAACCATAAAAAGTCTATCTGACCAAGACATAAGCTCCGAAGTCTAGTTGCATGTTGATTGATAAGCCACTTTAAACTAGATGGATCATTTCATAAAATTAGTTGTACACAGTTAGTAAGCGTTGATTGGTTAACCAAAATTTTCTCGAAGCTGAAATTGAAAACACCCGTCAAGATTTTTAAATATATGCATTTTGGGTTCTAAGGGAGCACATTCAACAATATACCACTAATGGACCTGTTTGTACTTCAAAGTTGAAAACATTCGTCAAGGTTAGTAAATAATTATATACGTTCTGAGTCCCAAGCAAGTAAATTCAACACATCTACTACCAAAGGACATGTTTGTACCTTGTATCTCGAAATTAGATACAACTTAATTATAAGTATTCTGGGTCCTAATGGAGCACATTCAACATAACCACTATCAACGGACATGTCTGTACCTTGTATCTCGAAATTAGATACAATTTAATTATAAGTATTCTGGGTCCTAATGGAGCACATTCAACATAATCACTATCAACGGACATGTCTGTACCTTGTATCTCGAAATTAGATACAACTTAATTATAAGTATTCTGGGTCATAATGGAGCACATTCAACATAACCACTACCAACGGACATGTCTGTACCTTGTATCTCGAAATTAGATACAACTTAATTATAAGTATTCTGGGTCCTAATGGAACACATTCAACGTAATCACTATCAACGGACATGTCTGTACCTTGTATCTCGAAATTAGATACAACTTAATTATAAGTATTCAGGGTCCTAATGGAGCACATTCAACATAATCACTATCCCATTAGGACCCAGAATACTTATAATTAAGTTGTATCTAATTTCGAGATACAAGGTACAGACATGTCCGTTAGCACATTCAACATAACCACTACCAAGGACATGTCTGTACCTTGTATCTCGAAATTAGATACAACTTAATTATAAGTATTCTGGGTCCTAATGGAGCACATTCAACATAACCACTACCAACGGACATGTCTGTACCTTGTATCTCGAAATTAGATACAACTTAATTATAAGTATTCTGGGTCCTAATGGAGCACATTCAACATAATCACTACCAACGGAACTGTTTATACTTCGAAGTGGAAAACAATTTCAAGATTACTTAAAATATTTGCAAGACTTTTCTTCAAAATTTGATTCGTTTAGTCAATATACTTTATTTGAACACGTCCTCTTCAGTCTGTTTGTGCTAAACATAATCTCTTAGTACAAGTTAGCTTACAGACTTGTTAATAATGGTTTCTCAGTATTAAAAACTGACCATTTAAACCAATGGTGTCTCAATATATGGGTCACAGAACAAGACATCGATAATAAAATAATGATCCAAACTGTTTTGAACGAACAAAACAAAAACACAAAATATAAGGACACTACTAGACTTAACTGAACTATATTAGAACAGTAGCTCCCTTCTCCAATTAAGCACGAGTCCCAGTGAATTGTCTATGAGTTGTTAAAAATTGGGAACCTCCTGATTTAGGAAATCTTCGAGTATAAGACTATCTGTCGTTTATGCTTGTAAACGATCACTATAATCTTGGAGCGCCATCTAACGACAAAAGTAACATTTAATTTACAACAAAAAGCCTTGTAGATGTATTGATATTATTCTTTTACCGAATTATCAAGGGTGCGAAAAATGAACCCTTGCATTCAGAGTTCAAGCCTGTTTACTAAGTTAACTAGTCCAGTTCGTCCTACACAGACACCATATACTTTGTTAAGTTAACTAGGTCCAGTTCGTCCTACACAGATACCATATACTTTGTTAAGTTAACTAGTCCAGTTCGTCCCACACAGATACCATATACTTTGTTAAGTTAACTATCCAGTTCGTCCTACACAGATACCATATACTTTGTTAAGTTAATTAGTCCCGTTCGTCCACACACAGATACTATATACTTTGTTAAGTTAACTAGTCCCGTTCGTCCTACACAGATATCATATACTTTGTTAAGTTAACTAGTCCAGTTCGTCATACACAGATACCATATACTTTGTTAAGTTAACTAGTCCAGTTCGTCCCACACAGATACTATATACTTTGTTAAGTTAACTAGTCCAGTTCGTCCCACACAGATACCATATACTTTGTTAAACATGACAAAATTTCGACTCGCTCTCATTTTTTGAAAAACCACGTTTCTCTTATAACGTTCTGAACTAGATTTATTTAATTTTGCGGCAAATTCAACACTATTCTTGCTACTGATTATTGGATTAATAATTTTACATAATGTCACGATCTTTTTAGAAATATCTCGTCTGCTTCTTAATTCATTAACTAACTTTTTAAGAAATAATGACAAACTTTGGTTTTGTGAACACCGTTAGTTTAACCCTTGTATTATACTTCCTTATTATTAAAGCATTACGTTATTAGTTTAGTTACATTACATTCTGTCAGTTACTGTAATCTTCATATTTATTTATCATTGTTGTAATTTCCCTGTGTAAGGCTTATTATTGTTGTGAACTTTTTCCTATCTTATTATTGCTTGTTCATTTCGATTAGTGTCTTAGGAATGGAAGATTCCAATATTACTCCTATTTTTACAGAGGGTGTTAAGAGTTGTCCTGGAAGTTATAGGCCAGTTAGTCTTATTTCTGTAGTGGAAAAAAAATATCTAAAAAGTCTGATAAAAGAAGCTTTTCAAAATGATTTAGTGAAGTATGAAATCATGAAGAAAGCTAACATGGAAAATCGTGCTTTACTAATCTATCAACCTTTTCCGAAGATGTAACTTCTTATCTCTACGATGGAAAGACTGTGGAATTGATGTTCTTAGATTTTCAAAAAGGTTTTTATAAGGTATCACACAAAGAGATTAGCTAAGAAATCAGGTAAAATATTCAGCTGCATACTTACAAAAACGGGGTTATTCTCATTACACGGTAAAACTAAATTAATGGTTTTAATCACTAAACTTTCTAAAAGTTTATTTTGTTTAAAATTAAGCACAAATCTACACAATGGGATATCTGTGCTCTGTCCATCACGGGTATCGAAACCCGGTTTCTAGCGTTGTAAATCCGCAGACATACCGCTGTGCCACTGGTGGACTTTAAAAGGTTGGATAAGCAGGTAAGCTTAAGTATTTGTAGTGAAGTTGGGAATAAAACAAGTAAACATTATTTATCATACTATCATTAAATAATTTTACATTAATAAATGGGGTAGGCAGGCAGTGTCACAGTCGTGGTGCTTTGAGGCAGAAATAGGGATTTTCGTTTCCATCATGCCAATGAAAGTTTATAGCAAGAAACATTTTTTATTTTACATTAGGCAGTGACTGAACATTTGAACTTCATGGTGGATTTCAGCTACACATATATGCTCGCAAGAGTCACGAGATATTTGAGATTTTCTGGGCTTTTGAAAATTTTCCAATGTTTTCAAAGTGCGTTTTCAAAGCATAGGAGCTAAGTTATATATATATATATATATATATACTACTAAACTCTGAGATTGTTGTGTGTGTGTGTGTCTTGTCTGTAATTAAATACAGACAAAACT